GTTAGTGCTGGCATATCCAGGTACAATCAATGGAAGTGATAACGAATTACTGGTATCAAATATGTGAGGTACAGAAAACTAAAGGGAATAGACATGCAAGTAAACTGCAACATGGGAAACATATTGTCAGATTATAAAATCAATGTAAGGCACATATTTCATAGGCTTGTGTGAAAGTCAACTGATGAGCTATAAGAAATGAGATATTGTGAAAGTCAAACCAAACCTATCTATCCAAACTTTCAAAGAAGAAAAAAGTCAAGTGGCAGGAAGAATGTAGGACAGCTGAACACTAACTTTCAATATCAAACAAGAAAAGGAAGAAACTCTTGTCTCAGTCAAGAGTGTGAACAAATGGAATAAGAAAAAAAGCACGACAGGTTTCTTTTAAGAAGGAAAAGCCATAGCTAAAATACAAACTTCCAAAAATAGTCACTGAAGAGATCCGATACCAACAAATGAGATTAAAGGAAGATGGAACTGTACCAAAACCTTTATTAAACAAGCTTATAGAATAACTGAAACATTTGCAGAGAAAAAAAAATTCAGGAACTAAATTGAAAATTAGGTATGACAGTCATTGAAACAGCTGCTAAATAGGAAAGCATCAGCCATAGATTAAAAAAAAAACCATTCAACTATATAAAGCTGTGGAGAAATGGCAGATAAAGCAAAAATAATTCTGTTTCAACAAATATAGAACAAAATTTGGGGATCTAGGAAAAGATTGGTAATACAGTAAAGAAGCAAGATGCAAATAAATCTGCACATTTCTAAATTAACTACAGTAGGTCTTTACGCAAGCAAGGTTTTGCTTATTGTACTTCACGAGATTTAGAGACTTACATGGAGATGAATAAAACACCATGTACTCAAAGAAGTAATCTATTAGTCCTGGCTCATATAAAAACAGATTGCTCCTTTAATGAAATGATTTGCAAACATAAACTCACATACTTTGGGCATGAGATGTAAATGGATGTTTGTTTTTGGTGCCTTTGAGTCAGTATTGACTCCATGTGCCTGCCTGGTCAAGTCTCTGAAGTTTCCTTGGCAAGATTTTTCAGAAATGGTTTGCTATGGCCTGCTTCTTAAGGCTAAGAGGGAAAGAATGGCCCAAGATTACCCAGCTGGCTTTGTGACGAAGGCAACACTAGAACTCCTGGCCTTCTGGTTTCTAGCCTAATGCCTTAACCACTACACCAGACTGGCTCAGACCTGATGAGAATCTAGAAAGAATATTATTCTTGGCAAAATTGGGGGAAGAGAAAAGCAACAGATAAGGTGGATGGGTGGGATAAAAAAAAATAATAATGATCAGAATGTTCATAGAAAAGATATGGATTACTGCTGACATGACAGCTCCAAGAAAGCAAGGATTTCTCTATCCAGTCTCCAGGAATCAAAGCCAACTTGCTGAAACTTCACTAAACCACTGCTGTTACAACAATCGGGCAGAATCCTCGGACAGAACACGTGAGAATCAGACTTAAAAGCTACAAGTCTAGAGCAGGTCTTCTCAACCTTATTGCAGATCGAACCACTTTTAGGACATGACAATATTTGAGTACCACCAGTGCTTAGCAAGGTGTCAAAAACTTAATGACTAAAATAAAGGGGAGGGGATTTTGGGTTTTACTGATTAGATTCATGTTATAGAAATGGCTAGTTAATAATATTATGGAAAAGTAAAAAGTTGAGGTTCAATGTTAATGCTTCCTTCTACTGCAACAGAGGAAATCTGTTCTTTTTCTCTTCTCCCCCTCACTTCCCCCCCCTTTTCCTCCCCACCACTGTGTCCTACTATTTGCTTTTGTATTTTTGTATTTTATTCTATAATCTAATAAAATATTACAAACTGTGGGAAAAAGGGGAAAAAGTACCAGTTTTAATTTCTTTGGTGGCAGTTCCTTTGCTGAATCACTTTCCACTTGCACTGACAAATGTATGATGAATTTATCCATGTTTATTAATATGCACCACTACCAGCTAGCTCAGGGGTCTTCAAACTTGGCACTTTTAAGACTTGTGGACTTCAACTGCCAGAATTCCTCAGCCATCATGGCTGGATGAGGAATTCTGGGAGTTGAAGTCCACAGGTCTTAAAGTTGCTAAGTTTGTAGACCCCTGAGCTAGCTGGTCAGCCCTTCTTAGTTCTCCTTTCATAGTGTAGTAAGAATGCATCCCCATCCCTTCCCTGTTCCCTTAAAGACACAGGAATCAAGTGCAAAGCAAGAAAGGCTCACAAAATAAACACATAAACACATCTGATTTTTTTTTCTTTCTTTAAGCTGCCTCAGACATGTCACGTGTCACAATGTTGCAATCCCAGACCGAAAGGCTCTGACAATTGCGAAAAGCTTTAGCTTTAAAATTAATCCTGTTTATCTTCAAAGAAAACTTTCTAAAAGCCATAGACAAACTCAAGATAAGGGGGTAAAACTGATTACATTTGTTTAAAGGGATTAAACTTACAGAAGTCAACACTTCGGACTCATTGCTAGCCTAAAATACAGACTAAAATATTCCAATAACCAAAACACACAAAGGATCTTCTGAATTACAAAATGCTGTAAAAACTGTACAAAAATCCTTATGGTAACCCAATCAAGCTGCCAGCTGATCCAGAACTAAATAAACCCACCTCCTTTCCGACATGCTGGCTTTTCATTTCATCAGCGCTGTTTGCATTCTCCTGGCTGGAGAAAATGAACCAGAGGACCTTTTCTTCCAGCAACGGCTGCTGCTTCTTCTCTGTCCCTGTTTCCTCCCTGCCAGCTGACCTCTCCTTCTCTTTCCCTGTTGTCTTTTTTCCCCCTTTCCTGCCCAAACTTTTCTAAATAAAGCTTATCAGGTAATTGTTCTCTGGAACATTACAGCAGGATCTGGGCTTTCCTATTTAGTCATCTGAAAAATCAGGCAATTAATCAGGAGGGGAGATCCTAAGGGGGCTGAGAATAGCATCTAAAGAAAGAAACACAAAACTAGCCAGTCAGGATCCTGGATGATCCAACTAGAAATTTTCCAGTTGTTTCCAACACTAAATGTTTAGCTGATTCATAGGAAAATCAGTGAGCATATGAATTTGGACGAAGCAGGCCCAGACATGCCTTTTATTCAGACTCAGAGAACTGATCTTCTGGATGGGGAAGGTATCCATCAGCATACATGCCATTTATTTGGTTTTGGATTAGCGTATTGTATACATCCAGTCATTTGAAGCTTATTTAGCAAGCCTTAGTAAAAATATGCCTTGACTTAGTTTAATTTTTTTAGTATAACTCGGTGTAAAGACATCACACTATCATTTCATCAACCTCTCCAACCTCCAGATGTGTGGGAAGAGCAAATTCCAGGATGAGCAATCTAATACTCTTAATATACAACTAGACTACCAAACTCTAGTGGAAGTTCCCATTTACTTCATCTTAATTTTTTCAGAAGGTCATTAATAAATATATTTTTAAGGAAACCTTTCCTTCATCCATGGAAGAGAAGTTGGTGAAAGAGATGAAAGGGGATAAATATTGAGACACAGAAAGAGGACAGATATATATATATATTGATAAAGGTTGAATATAATAAAATGTACCATCTGCATGTTTTATACAAGCCTTCCCTCAACTCCATATCATCAACGAACAGATCATATCTGATTCCATGGTCTAACTTCACATTAATGCAAAGGCACATATGGTCCCATGAGTGACTTCTTCTCTCCCTTCCCCTTCTCCAAGAAATATCTCCTCTTAACAGGACTCCCAAGTCACATAAACTATATATGTGATTTAACACTGCCTTTATTGTCTCCTACATAAAACCCATAAACATTTAGGATTTCTAGTGCAGGCTTTTAGATCAATGAAGCAGTGATTAGCTTTTGGGATGAATGGCTGTGGTGTAGTTCTATTTTGTTCTGACCTTTTGCCAGCAGCTGTGGCTGGCATCTTTTCAGAGGCAAAGTGATATAATAGGTATGGCAGTCCACACTACTTCATTTTGGATTTCCATCAACATATGTCAAATACCATGCAAAATCATGCTAGTGTTGCCCAGGTGAAACAGGTTTTTTCATTAAAAATTGCCTGAGTAGAACTAAGTAACAGAAGAAAATAAATTATTTCATACAGCCCTAGGCAACAAACATCAACTTTCAAAGCAAATTCTCAACTGAATGAAAAGAGCTGTACTTGAAACACAGCTAGAGGGCAGCAGATTGAAGAAGTCTGTTAAATAACCACACAAAGGTATTTAGAAATAGCCTGGAACATGACTTTATTCCAGACTATTTTGGGCCCTTGGCACTAAATTAACAATATTCCTTTACATCTGAAGACCACTGCCATAAATGCAAGATTAAATTAATTGATATGCTTCACTTCCACCACAAAATTTACCAGGTTTGAGTCTTCAGCAACTAGCTAATTTAGCAACAGAGTCCCTCTTGGTTTTTTGTAGGACTAATGCAGGGGTCTTCAAACTTGGCCCTTTTATAACTTGTGGACTTCAACTCCCAGAATTTCTCAGCCAGGCATGCTGGCTGAGGAATTCTGGGAGTTGAAGTCCACAAGTCATAAAAGGGCCAAGTTTGAAGACCCCTTGACTAATGTTTTTCAATAAATACTTTAGATAGGTGTCTTTACAGAAACTCTCCAATAACCTCCTTCACCACCCATACAGCCAAATGAAATTCCACAATTCCACCTCGCCAATCCTGTTTATTAAGTGACAAGTAATAAAATACATCCCTTTAGGGACTTGTTTTCACAACTTTTCCCCACGGGTAAATTTATTTAGTGTTTTGCTAATGGATTGATAAATAAATTTACAACTCTCCAGCCAGGTGGGCACTCGCAAAGCATTACAAGAATTATGTGGTCTGATGTACTTCCTTGGCAAGGAAGCTTCAAACAATCCTCAGAAAGAGAAATGGGCCAAGAAAAATAATATCTTATATTAGGCAACAGCAGCTGGTCTCCGAGATCAGGTCTCTTACTCACCACAGAGCATGAACAGCAAGACAAAAAACAAAGTAGCCACGATGACGAGGAGAGTCAGGCCAATACTTTGCAACATCTTCCCTGTGTCTGTGAAGATCTAGGACGGTTTCGGTCTCCCTGATCGTGTGAAGAAGACAAAGGAAGGAGGAAGCAATCGCGACATCCCCACCGGCTACAAAGAAGTGAGCAGGCAGGGGAAGGAGCAGGGGCAACCGGCCACCTAGAAATCAGTGAGCACGAAAGAGGATAGGAAAGAAAGGGGTGCAAACCCCAATACTTGATGCGTAAGGACCATGATTCTCCTTTCCTCTGCTCTTCTCTTCCAAGAACTTTTTGCGAGCAATCAAGAGGCAGTGAGTTCCAAAGGAGGAGGAGGCGGCGGCATGAGTTCTAAGGGGCTGTTATAAACTAGCGAAGAAGACCAGCAATTTTACACACACACATTCAAGAGGCTTTCTGGAGCGACGAAGCAAATCCACGGCCGAAGAGGATGGGGAAAAGGCTGGCGGGATAGACTGCAGCTCCCCGATCAGAAACCCCGCACGGTGTCTTCCTTGCCCCGAATATCAGACGGTTCCATTGTTCCCTGAGCAGGAGGGGCAAAAAACGAGACTCCTCACCTCCTCCAGCTCTAGGGGCAGAATGGTCTTTCCTCCGCCTCGAAAATCGGGCAGCTGCAAAATGAACGAGAGGGAGGGCGGGTAGGGAAGAGATGGGGGGGAAGTGTCGTTTCCAGCCACCCGGATATGATTCGCCGCTGTGTCGCAAATCTATGGAAACTGTAGTTCAGTGTGTGAGCGCTGGTTACTCTTGGGTGCTGGAAAGTGGCACAAGAAGGACTTTAATTCCCATCATCCTTTGGGAATGAAGGCCCGCCTAAGAGGCAGCGTTCTGATCCCTTCTAATCAATGCGGTCTAAATGTAAATCAGTTTAAGAGACTCTGAAAGGCGTTTGTGGCGTGGAGCTTACGAGCTATTTTTTTATTATTGTTATTAAAATCCTTCCATTATTTTCTTCGGCGCCCGTGTAAAATAAATATTCCTGAGAACCGAGAACATATGAGAAGGTAGGGCTGTCACCTGCTAATGCATAAAGCGAATCTGGGTGTTGGACTGCAGTAATCGGGCGCCTCCGCGATGACCGCGAAACACTTAAAGAGTTTCGATAGCTCCTCGCTGCCGTTTCGTGCTAGCGTTTTTGCAGCCCAGCCTCAGAAGCCAGTGACAGGCAAAGCGTTTACTTTAATTTACCATTTAATGGGGGGAAAATCTTCAGATTCTGGTACATTCAGAATCCAAAATCAAGGTTGTTTTAAAGCACGGAAACTCCGCATACGCTATTTTTTTTTTTTAAATGATCAGATGAATCAGTGTCCATTAAAGTGCAAAACTAAGCAGAAAATATGTCAAGAGTGACAGTACGTCAGCACTACGCACGCACACATCAATTTTATATTGTAGGAGGGAACAAAAAAATGGTATGTGTGTCTAAATGAGGTGCTAAACTGGATAAAATGATCATTTAAGGTAGAGATCCCCCAAACTCTTCAACTCACCAAGCCGTACAAAATTTGGCTCTATTGGTTGGCTTGAGGTGTGATGGGAATGCCCCATGCTGATGGTAGCTAGTGATGTAATAGAGAAAATTCATATGATTCGTAAGATTTGTATGCCCAGAGCTTTGGATAGTGAAATGGATGGCGTATTGATTAAATAAATAAATAAGGAATAAACTCAAAGCTGTTCCCACAGCCAGTTCCCCTGGCTGACCATCCAGTCCTGTGTAACTCTTACTGGTAGCTCATTTATCTTAAGGACCAGGAGCTGGTGTGGAGCTGTACAGAGCCCCCCCCCCTCCAGCCATTTACTGACTCCCTATTCCAGTGATGGCGAACCTTTTAGTGCCCAAAAAGTTCAGAGTTCACAGAGATTCAGAGAAGAGGTCAAATGATAAGAACAACTTCATGATGTTGCATACAAGCCCTACTCATTTTGTATGTTCATTTTGAAATTTATACATATTCAAAAGGGGCGGAACTTGCTGCATAATGCTGCCTTTGTCACTTTCAGTAAAGCTTTCAATCGTGTAGATGCCTCAAGGTGGCAGTTTTCTCTTTCAGTAAAAAAGTCAATCTAATATGTATTAAGGTTCACATCTGCTTGCTTATATTTATACCTACAGAAAATAGGATATACAGAAATCTTTTCACATCAGAGATTCTCTATGAAATCTTTGAAAACCTTATTGAAATAAGCCACGCAAGGAACTTGCTTTTTTATTATATGTGAGCAGTGCTTTTTTCTAAAAAAAAAAAAAGGTGCCGGAACACACACACGTCATACAACCCGCCTTGCCTACCCTACAAGGTTCCATCCAAAAAAGATGCCGGAACTCCGTTCTGGGCATTCTAATGAGAAAAAAAGCCCTGTATGTGAGAATGGACACCATACAGCTCTTCTGCTTGTTCTCTGGAAATCCTGCCTTTCTAGGGGTCTATCAGTATGACCTTCTACCCAGGGCAAAAATCTCCAAAAGAGCTTTTGGGTTAACTGTAAACACCTGCTCTCAACTCTACCTGTTGAACACTGGTTGGCTCCCTACTTCCCATCTCCTGGATATTATGATTTTTTTATTGTTATGGAAGTCTGACAGATAACTCTGAATTCTTGGGCACCATTGTGTAGTTTTTAGAACAACAAGCTGAGAAGTACATCTTTCATCCACTTCAACTGCAACATACCCATGTGATAATTAGTGGACAGCACTGTGTATTTTTTCTACTGAATCAATTTAAAATTGTGGATTTTGAAAATGTTCTCAAATGTTTTAAAATAATATTAAATGATAAAGCAGTTGGTAAAAAGTATAAAAATGGGAAGGAGGCTTGGAGCATGTATCCATTATCAGTGCATGCAAACATGTCTGCCTTATCGTAAAATAAAACCTAAAACCTAAACATTTTTTTGCTGGTTTCACAGTGTTTTTATTCATTTTACAAGTTGAGTGGGTCACCAAACTTTAGATTATTTCTAGGATTTGACCTCTGAGTCCCAATAGGCACTGACATAACAGAATCAGGACTAGATAGCACTTATATCCTTAAGAGCCAAAGACTCTTTCAGCTTTTCTAATTGTTCTTGCTGTTAGACCCCAGTATGGCTATTGGAACATTCACCTCAACTATAGCATTCATAAATTCATTCCACCTTTTCGGCTATTTTTACGGCTGTCAGCAGGACCTGAAAAAGTCCATTCCATCTCGGCTGTAGCATTGACTTCCAATTAAATAACCAGATCCAGATCCAGTCCCCTGACTCAAACAGGTGGGGTGTCTTTTCGAGAGGCAGTGTCTGAGTTAGCATGCTTCATTTCCAAAATCACGAAGTCATCTCTGCAGAGCTGTAAGATATGAGGACAAGACCACACACACCTTTTCTAAACTGAGAGAATGTGGGTCTAGATCTTTCAGGGTGTCTGGTCACTGGCCGAAAAGCATTCAAATGGGAAGATGCCTAAGTCTTGTTGGGGTCTAGTTCTGAAGTGGAATAGGGCAACTGGCAGGGCTTGGTCCACAACAATGTATCTCCTAGCAGAGCTTATATAGTAGTATTTTGAGTTCCCTATTGGCTCGTTCTACCTCCCCTGAAGAAGCGGGGTTATACAGGGCATGAAGGTTGTCGGTGATTCCTAGGGCTTGTAGTACATATGTGATGACTTGGGACACAAGTGTTTTCTGTAGGGATCCCAAACCTGGGCACTATATCCTTTAAAAGGTGTGGGACCATTTTGAGCACGGTTGCATGGTGGCATCAACAATTGCAAGTTTTTCCATTTTTCTAGATCCAGTCTTACTTGGTTCAGTAATTTTATATAGTTCTCTTCTTTTATTGTTGAACATCTTGCTGTTAAATATATTCCCAAGTATTTAACTTTTTTGACTATTTGTAGTTCTATTTTTTTTTACATTTGTTTTTTTGTTGTTTATCTGTAAGATTTTTAACTATCACTTTAGTTTTTTTCCTGTTTATTTTCACTCCTGCTATCTCTCTATACTCTGCTATCTTTTCCAATAATTTAGGAATCATCTCTAAAGGTTCCTCTAAGATAAATACCAAGTTATCTGCAAATGCTTGCAATTTATAAGTTTCACCTTTTATTTCTAGTCCTTTAACGTCTGTATCTTACCTAATATTTCTATTTAGAACCTCCAAGTTTAGGATAAATAACAATGGAGATACTGGACATCCTTGCCTTGTACCTTATCTCAAAGTTCTCTGTATAGTCTCTGTTTACAATCACTTTTGCTGTTTGTTTATAGTATATCGTTTCAATCATATTTATAAAGTTTTGTCCAAAGTCCATTGTTTTTAGCTGTTGAGTCATAAATTGCCAGGAAATATTATCAAACGCCTTTTGAGCATCTAAGAATACTAGTGCCAGTTGTTTCCCTGGATGTATTTCATAATATTCCAATATATCCATTATAACTCTTAAGTTATTTTTAATTTGTCTCTTTGGTAGAAATCCATTTTGATCTGGATGTATAAATTCAGTTAAAAATCTTCTCAGTCTCTCCGCTATTATTCAAGTAAAAATTTTATAATCCACATTTAGTAATGATATCGGTCTGTAATTTTTTTTATCTGTGTCAAATCTGAGTCTTTGCTATTGAAGTAATGTTTGCTTCTGTCCATGTATTTGGGAGTATAGCCTCCAACCAAAGTTCTTTACACGCATCTTTCAACGGTGTCTTGTAGGCATTTATACAACTCTGCCAGTAGCCCATCTGGTCCTGGGTTTTTTTCAATTTTTTTTTGTCTTGTTATAGCCTCTGTCAGTTCTATCATTGTTATTTTTTTCATTTAACATAGTTTTAAAGTTTTCTGAAATTTTTGGTAAGTTATTTTTTTTCCATAGATTGAACCATTTTCTCCCATGAAATTCCTTTTATAGCATACAATTTCTCATAGTATTCTTTAATTATCTTTTTTATTTCTTCATTTTTAAATTGTAAACAGCCTTTTTCATCTATTAAATTATCAGTTTTTTCTCCTTGTTTTTTAAGTTTATAGGCTAGCCACCTTCCTCGTTTATTTGCATTTTCAAAAAAGTTTTGTTTTGCTCTTTTAATTTGCTGAGTCAATTTTTCTGATTCCATTAAATTTAATTTATGTTTTATTATTTCCAATTGCTTTTTCAGTATTTTCTTTTGTGGATTTATTTGTAATTCTGATTCTAATTTTTTAAATTCTTCCCTTAACAGTATGTGTTCTTTTTTCTTTTTTTGCCATGTTATAGCTACACCTCTAAAATATGCTTTGGCTGTATCCCATATATTTTGTAATGTTGTATCTTCTTTTTTATTTTCTTTAAAGAAGAACTCCATTTCATTTGTTGCTAGTTCTATAAATTCTTTTTCTTTTAATATGGATTTGTTCAAAGTCCATCTTAGTGGGGTTTTTTTTTTTGTATTCCTTTCCATGTCATCTTTAAAGGATTATGATCTGCCCATGTATCTAAATCTATCTCAGTCTCATGCATATTGGTTCGTAATTCAGGCGTCATCCAAATCATATCAATTCTGGACCAGGATTTATGGCTGCTCAAATAGAATGTGTTTTGTGGTTTTGCTGGGTTAGTTTCTCTCAGGTATCTTGTACCCCAATTTCCTCTATCAGATTAAAAAAAGGTCTTAGGTAAT